ATTTTACACAAATTAAAGAGGGAACAAAAATCAATTAAAAACGCAAAATAAAGCATAAAAAGTCAAAATAGCTGAATAACTTAGTTGCACTAACTCCAATTTCCATGTGATTTTTTTTTATTGTTTTTTTACATTTTTTTTTATTTGATTCCTTAAAAGTCAAAGTTATGTGTGATAAAAAGACTAACAACTATGTATTTATTTACACACACACACACATAAAGACACATTTTATACATACACAAAACACATCACAGACATGGACAAAAAAGTCATGGCCTTAACAAAATTATCTTTTGTTTTCCCTTGCAAAACAAATGATCTGATGTGAGAAGAGAGAACAGGTGGAAGAGAACTTGGAGAGGTGGAGTCCATGTATGTGAACGAGTGGCTACAAGGAGCAGAGGGACAAACAGGCAGTGGTTTCTTTTAAACCTCAGTCCCTCTTCACTTGAGAGATTTTGATTTTAAAAAAACTGAAAGAAACGTAGTCTCACAAACAATAAAATGCATTTAAAAATCAAATTAAAAACAAATATAACTTACCCACATARATGAGGTAGTCATACACCCCTTCAACGGTGATCATTTCCATGAAATAGTTCTGATTGTGTCTTTTCTCTGTCGTTTCTGAACGGTTGGCGTTGTTTTTGAAGAGATCATTAAAGAGCTGGAAGAGAGACGTTTTAATGTTAGAGAACTTTACAACTCCCACTGATAGCTCTGAATGTATGTATCTGGATAATTTGTTTAAATCTACATTTGATTTGAGGATAAGACTTGGTAATAAACACTTTTAGAATTTTTTTATCCAACTTTTGTCAGCTTGTTTGGTTAGTTGTAAAAAAAAAAAAAAAAGGTTGGATACATTAAACAGGTTTCCGGTTTAAAGGAAAATAAAAAAATAGAATAACCAKAGTTCCTTTTGCACCAAAGCTGTCTTTATGTTCCGTTTTTAAAACTCGAAATGTCGTAAAAGCTTTTTATTAGTGAATCCCTGAACCATCAACAGTCAGAATCTCTGCAGATTTATAACAAAGTGATAAAAACAGGAACTAACAGCCTTTGGTAGGCAAAGACAAACACAGAAACAAAAGCTGTAAACATCGGACTGCAAACCTTTTTGTCGTTTTCAGACGTGGGGCTCAGGATTGTGAGTTCAGGGCGACTAGGTTTGGGTTTGGGAGACTCACAGGAGTTGAAGAAGGACTGGATGAACGGCTCCAGATGTTGTCCTTTCTAAACACAAACGGGTCAAATTACATACTATCAAAACATTCACCACAGCTGCATTTTTACTGTACGTGTTCAGAACAAAAGAAAAAAAATGTCACAATAAATAAATTCCTTACCTCTTTTATCAGTTTGCTGGGCACTGACTTTATGATTTTGCCTGTAAAAAATAGATATTTAATCTGGGTGATGTATGGTTCTGACATTTTTTTAGCCTCTGTTACACAGATGTGTCTTTCCAGCGCAGCTCAAGGTTAAATCTTTATGTTTACAGAYTGTAAGGCATGTTTTTTACAGAACAACTCATTTGTCTCTGTCACATTCTCTGTATCCAGCTCCTCACCCAGATTCACATCAGGTAACATCTTGTCCAGGAACTGAGACTCCATGCTGTGAGGGGACAGGAAGTCAGCCAGGAGCTGGCTGTTGCTCAGCTCGGGGTGCTGCAGAAGTCTCTGCAAGAGAAAAATAATAATATAATGAAGAAAATAATGAAGCTCAGTCGATCTTGATTTGATTTTTGATTTGCTGTTTGTGATTTTGGCTGGAAAGTTCTTTACAAAACAAATCGAARCCTTCAAATATTCATAAGTAAAACTGTAGAGTTGAGGGGTGGTTTTGTCATCAATAAAAAAATAATTAAACCTCTCCAGTCAGTACGTGCATAAACACCTTATATAAGCACGGCATGCTTTGATGAATAATTTATGGGATCAAGATGATTTATCAAAAGTTTAAGCCACCTTTTGATCAGTTCAAAAGGTTTCTGGTTTACAAAATGATTGTGAGTGCTCAGAAACTCTGATTCAAAATTCAAACCCTCACGTCAGTGAGTGTTGTTTTGCCATTTACTGCAGAAATTCAGAATTTTGCTCAAGTCACTTAAACATATTAAAAAATAAATGAATCTGACAAAAAAAAAAACCTGGGTCATTTGAACACCTGGATATTGGTTTAAGGATTTATGTAAACTCATGATCAACCATTTGCCTCATCAGATTATCTACCTGGAGATACTCCTGGAACTCCTCCCGCTTCGATGTTAGAAACTCGTAATTCTTGGGGCCAATTATTCTCTTGGAAGGCAGCTGAGCATCTGGGAAAGATCCTYTAGAGTGTGTTCAAGAAACAGAGGAATAAATGCTGCTTTTATATTTCTACAGCAACTGTCTTAAAGTGGGGGTATTTTGTATTTTCCAGGCACATAGTTAATAATAATAATGCATTCGTCTTATATAGCACTTTTTGAGACCCTCAAAGATGCTTTACAATTTTCATGCATCATTCATTCACACTCACATACTGATGATAGTAAGCTACTGTACATTGTGCCCTGGGGCAGACTGACAGAGGCGGGGGCTGCCATACTGCACCACTGGCCCCTCTGACCACCATCAGTAGGCAAGGTGGCTGAAGTGTCTTGCGCAAGGACACAACGACTGAAACAGCTTGACTGGGGATTGAACCGGCAGCCTTCCGGTTCCAGGGCGACTCCCCTAACCACTCTGCCACGGCCGCCCCCAAACCACTTTAGTATAGTTCTAAACCACTAWACCAAAAATAAATGTGACTTTGCATCACYGCCTGTCTAAACGCCTTGAAGTTGACCTCTGTCTCTTTAAGAACTTCCTGCCGTTTCTGACACTTCCACTTCAGCAAGTCTTCACAACAACGCTTCGGGGGTGGGGTGCTCWGTAGGGRGGGAACTCGGCTGCAAACTGAGCTCCAGCGAGGAGCTATGTACAAATAGGCGGAGCTTTGTACCAMCAAGTGTTTGGGCAGCTCCACGTGGCTACCAGATGAGATTCAAGAATTTCTCTATCATCCATGAATGAGTCAACGCAACACTCTGMGTGTGTTTTTCATGAGGGAATGACAAAAAATTTTTTTGATTTGCATAACACCTCCCCTTTAACATTAAACTGCTATGATTTCAGTTCACTTGCAAGTTTGAGATTTTTCTGGAATCGACTAAACCCGAAAATCTCTTAATAGCACTAAATGATAGAAGCCGTAAAAGAAAACCTACCATGAAACTCAGTGAGCTTTGATTCAAGWACATAGAACTCCAGGTATCGTCTGTACACAGACCAGTGCTCCGTCTCATGCCCCACTGCAGGAAAAAAAACATTAATTCAACAAACAAGAGCAGATATTTAAAAAAAATTATTTCAACGTGTAACATGACATCTACTCTGATGGCTCTAAATGAGACTAAAAGAAAACAAAAGTAATGTAAAAAATGGACCTGCTTTCCGGTCGTTGCGCTCTACGTCAATACAGAAGACAGGGATCCTCTCCCGCTTCACATCGTCATCGTAGAAATCGATGTACGGGATGGTGATGCTCCAGGCTGAGAGGTTCCGAGGAGTGCTGGGGGTGGAGACGGCCTCCATGGGGGAGTCYTCCTCCAGCACCATCATGGCTTCTTCCACCTCAAACAGAAAAGGTGAAGAAAGTTAAAAAGAAGTAGGGTGTTTAGGGGAAAATAAAATCAAGTCGTTTTTAGGATCTTATTACAATTTTAAATAATAGCTATAATAATAAATAATAACCGGAAGCAGTTATTTCTGCAAATAGCAATAAGACCACTGGGAGGAGCCTGAGGAGCTCTGCTAACAGGACATAGTGACAGTATGTAAAAATCTGATCAGAGAACCTAAACCCAAGTGTCTTTTGATAATTTCTTTAGTGGATTTTTTTCCCCCTTATTTAAGCAATAGCTTTTATTTTTGGTCCCCTTCATTGTCATGTGGAAATTATTTAATTACTCTGCGCTACCTAAAATAACAGAAAACTCTACAATTAGGTTATTTTTGTTAAGCTAAGCACTAAACCAGAGCTTATCTAACTTGTCAATAACCCCACTAAAACTGAACCTTCACCAGTTTAACCTGATGTAGGTCTTGAATCCAAAACAACAGAGCTCCAAAACTAAAACCTGTGACAACAAAGCAGAAATGAGTCGAAACAGATTTTGTGTGAATCTCTCTTTACTCACAAATGCCCCCATGTGGCAGTGACCTGAGTGACATAAAAAAATGCCTGAGCTTGATTCATGTCTTCTAATGAACTTTATGAAAATAAACTGAACACACACAAGATCTTTTTGTTTTTTAAAACACAGGCAGACATCCCTGTTTGCATTATAATGATGAATGTTTTTTAGACACTAGTCTCACCATATCATCCTCTCCTTCCACCAGCCCAGAGGACGGCAGCATGGCGCCCTCCATGGTTGTGCTTTTGAACACTCCTTTGATCTTACTGCCGATGCGGCTGATCCCAAAGGACTCGCCCCGCTTTGACGTGTTCCTGCATAGCGAACAGGGAGGAGGCTGAACAAAAGGCTGCTGGAGGAGATGCACGTGGCTAAAGCGAACTTCATGCAGCTTCAGAAAGACCGATGGAGAAAAGGAGGCACAGAGGATAAGAAGCGGCAKGTCGTGTTGGTATCGCACGACTGAAGACATCATTTTGCTACAAAGATAATGAAGAGGCGCTGCTGGACCAACGGTACAAAGAAAACAGCACAAAGCAGTGAACGTTGATTTCATGACGTCTAATCTGAAAGGGACTGCAGCTTTATTAATGGCAAAAAACATTGTGTGATCAGTAACTGTGTAAGAAGAGAAGGGACACATCTGCTCTGTTTGAGTCAGATACAGAAGAGTGCAGTGACTGTTTAAGTCACTGCATTGTAAAAAAAAATATATAAAGCAGGGCTATTCAACTGGTGGCCCGCAGGCCACATCCAGCCCACTGGTGACCATAGCCTGGCACACAGATGGGTTCATTAATATCTTAATCCTAAACCCCTGGTTTTCTAATTCAATTACTATAAGTTCTTTTAGTTAGACATAAGCTGCGTTTCCACTGACCATGAAAACGCTCAAATTACAATTTCGAAAATAAATTTGCTCAACAGAAACACGCCAATTTCGAAAAACAAAATTAACGTTTTTCGACAAAATGGTTTTGCGCTAGGATGAGGTGGTTTTTTCGGCCGTATCGAAATTGATGTATTTCGCAAAACTGCACTGGAAACACTTTTTTTTTGCATCACGGGAGTCACGTGATCAAGAACTGGCTGTTTCTACTTGCGAAAAAGGCGACGAAGAAGATAACACGAAGTAAATGTAGTAGTAAAATCACTGAAGTAGTAAAAAAAAAGGATTAAACTCAACAACTACATTTTCCTAAAAACACAGCATACGTAGCCAGTCCCAAGTATAAGGGGCTTGTCGCTCGAAAGCCTCGATAAGACGCCGACATCTCCTCTGATGGCTGATGATGATCGCTAGCATCGTGGTAGCAATATGCTATGTGTTTACATCCATTGCCGCCATGTTTGTAATGACTTATCGTGAGAACAAATGTATTCACGCATGACTTTAATGGCATTTCTTACTTAACGGAAACACCGCAATTGCGAAACTGTGTTTTTCGACATTAACAGAATATTGACAAAGTTTTGCGCACAACTGCAATGGAAACACAGCTTTAGATGTGTGGTATCTAAAGAAACATCAGAATCTTGGCTATAAGCTWGTGAAAACCATTTCTATGAACAKTCAAGATGGTTAAAACTATAAGCAGTCAAAGATAAATCTAAGATAAGTAAAAGCAAAATTTATTTAAAAAGTTGGCAAGTCAGASATGTCWAWRTGTGTTAAATAGGAGGCAATCATTTGTTTTATGATGCTGGGTTCTGTGTGTTGTATTCATAAATAAATGCAGCAAAATAAACWAATTCAAAGGTAAGTGATCTTTGTKATTCTTGGCTTATTTACATAATGACTTTAACTGCTGGATGTTCAGCCCCTGAGCTGTTAGCCWGCAGTAACTCTAGCCCCCCGGAGTGATTTAGTTGAATAGCCCTGATGTAAAGTCTTTGACAGCAGCCAAGGTGAAAACAGAACACGTGACAAATTAAAAAAAATAAAATAACACTTCCATGCATTTGGCCAACCATGCAGGGGTCTGACTGGGACTGGGGGTCAAACGGGGGGTGAGAACAGTCGGCATGACATCACACTGCACTGAGACACACAGATGGACCCTGACTTACTTGGGCGACGGGTGGCGGTGGGAGAGCGAGCCGTATGGGAAGTTTGTAAACGTGGACTGGGCATGAAGGGAGTTAAAAGATGCAGGTGAAGAGCTGCCAGAGGCAGTGAAGAGTGAGGACGGGGACTCGGGGCTCCAGTCCCAGGAACTATGAGCAGGGGGACAGGGTTGGCGTCCCCAACAGTGCGGCGAGCGGCGGGATTGTGGGGGGGCCGTGGGCCGTATCAGGGCGGGTGGTATGGTAGTCACGGAGTCAGAGTGGACATACAATCACAGACACAGCATGGTGGTGGGCGAACATGGATGGAGAAAGAGGCGGACAAACAGGCTGAGCGGAGAGGGTTTCTGTCAGTCGCACAGATGGAGGAGTTTTTACTCACAGATGGACAATGTGAATCAGTAAAAGCACTAACAAAAATTTATTTATGTGTAAAATTACTGATGCAGCCTTCATAACAAGCTGCCTTTGTAACTATACGGAAAAAAAACTAAGCATTAAACCATAATTTGGCAGTTAATTATTGATGAGTCATGCTTTAATCAACCAAATTTCTTAAATAAAGTCACATTTCATCATCTTTCACCCAATCACCAAATCAAAAACATTTCTTAAAACCCCAACCTAAATATGTTTTAAAGTTAGTATTCGTGCTCATTTAACCAAAAACCTTGAAGTACATCAAATCCAGGCCACAGCGATTTTTTTTAAATTAATGAATGTTGCACGTTGCTGTCTTAAAGCATAAATGAAGAGCAGATTGCATCTTGCATGCAGCGCTGCTGAGCCAGTTACTGATTTAATCAGCACACCGATGCCTCATACTCACCGAATGTCATCCAAACTCAGGCTAGTTCTGGAACAATATGCACAAGGAGTTAGTGGAAGGGCAGCGTGGCCCCCTACACACCTCACCTCGTGATTAAAAAAAAAACAACTAAAATATGTATCCCAGATGTTACTAAATAAACCTTTAGGTTTATTTATTCAGGTCTTTGTTATTCACTAAGGTGCAGATTATCAAGAGGCAGAGATTATATTCTGCCGTGAAACTGCACAGCCTATAGTGACAAAGGGAGTTGGGATTTTAAATACAATTTTGCAGAAGTAAACAGAAAGGTACATTACATTAAACAAACATCAGATTTTTTTCTCTAAATATGAAAACAGTTAATTTGTGTGAACCGTTTTTCTGTTTTTATTCAGTTCAACAAATATCAAAATAACAGTACACCAAGCTTTGGTTTTGTTACCATAAAAAGAAATATAAAAACTACCTGCTCATCCTGGAGTTRCTTGTTGGGGACTCGGCTCCTCTCAGAAGCTGACGGAAATACTGCAGGAAGACATGCAAAAAGGACACGAGGTAGCTGCACCGTGCAAACGAAATGTTTTAAATGTAGCTCATATGATGTCTGAACCCCTTGACAAAGTCTAGTTATTAATAAAAATGTCCTATTTCACAGCAGAAATAGTAAATTACTTTCCAGACTGTTTTCAAGCAGTAGCTGGCTGCTGTGGACAATAGCTGAGCTCTGGTCCACCCAGCTTTATTCAATAAAACTTCCTCTGAGGGGTGAAATTCAGTTTGGCAGCTCGGCATTAGGCCAGCAGGAGCTTATTGGATGGTTTGGCGTTTAGCAGTGATGACAGGGRTAATGGCGGAGAGGTCAAAAGACGATAGCTGAGTCACTCCACTCCAAATGAGCTGCAACTTTTGCATTTTACAGTCATAGAAATGAAGCTTTATTAAAGCAAAATCAATCAAATAAAACCAAAGAAGATATAAAATGATGCATTTGTGTAAAACTACTGAACTTTGCACAAAAAGTACAGAAATTTGTGTTTGGTAGATTATTTGTTGTAACAATGGGCCTCATACAAGAACATGTTCGTATTCTTATCCTAAATTTCTCTCACTTTTGTTCGTACAAAGAGTTCGTACGAACATGTCACGTCAGCAAACTCTTCTATCTTCAGGAAAAGTGCGTAAATGAGCTGCATAAATTCCACCTGTTCGTATCCAGCTGCTCGTGCACGCGAGAGGACATTAGCATAATTACCACCCCAAAAACACCATATAAGGCTATGTTTCCTGCCTCAGATAAAAGGAAGTGTCCATTCATGAAAATGACAGCGAAAACTAAAAAGAAAAACTTTACGAGTTCAGAGATTGAAGTCCATCTGTCAGGGATCCAGAAAAGAAAATCTCTCATTTTTAGCAGGTCAGCTGTGGAATCAAAAAGAGCTGCTAAAAGTATAAACAACTGTGTTAAATCATTTTCATTTATTCAGAAGACACAGCACTGCGCACTGCCCGCCAAAAGATTTATTGCCAAGAAGCATTGTTYCAACAAAACAATTATCTACCAAACATTAATTTTCTTACTTTTTGTGGTAAGTTTATAGTTTTTTGATGATTTATAAAGTAACACAAGGCATACAGATAGAATTAACAACGGGAGGTGTATAATAAATTGCTTCCAGTCATGTGTTGTCTTCGTTTGTTATAATTAGCTCAGGGACGGACCGGCCGGGACGTTTCCCGGTGGGCCGGTGCATCACTGGGCCGGCACAGGCAGCGAGGGAAAAAAAAAGTCATGTAGTTGCGCTCAACACCAGTAGATGGCAATAATGCATCAACTCAGTGTTTACCAACCACCAACAAAGACCGGGGAAGAAGAAAAGTTTGCTGAAGAAAAAGAGGAAGAAGAGGAAGGAGAAGAAGACAACAAATAAAAAAATAAGAAGAGCAAAAATGAAGAAGGAGGAGAACAAAAATCGAGAGAAAAGAAAAAGTATCTACAAGCAAATTCAGCCAAGTGTCAGAAACTGACATTTATTTTCTGCTGGTGCATCCTCCTCATCCTCACTGGGACCTACGTCTGGAGAACAACCTGACTGAGAGGAGGAGGATGGTAGTCATGTAGGTGGCTGTGTTTTTTTCTAGTTTGCTAACTTTTAAAACAATGCATTTAGCTGTTAAATAAATAAAGCTATTTTCATGTGTGGACTAGGTCTAAACTGTGCTCAGTAGCTGATAATTTTATAAAACTGTGTTGCTTAAAATCTTTTAACATCAGTTAATGACCTTATGGAACTCTGAGGGTCAAGGCCTGTGAGCTAACTGCTGCTCTGCTATCTTATTAACTTTACTAATTCCTCTACATTACATCCATAGATTTTGTACAGTGCCTGAGATGATGTTTGTTGTTTCCGCCTCCATCATCTGCCTCCAACATTTGCAGACATCATCTGCCTGCCCGGACCTTGAATGGGCCAGTCAGGTATTAAATTCCTGGGTCACTTTTTTGCCCCAGTCRGCCCCTGAATTAGCTTATAACACTTGCCACTGTAGACACTTACCTCATCGCTGTGACAGAACATGGGGGTGAAAACAGTTTCCAGGAGAGAGAGCACGTGTTCATAGGCTTCAAACAGGCACCTCATGGTCTGCAATTTCACAACATCTGCATATGGACCCTCGGCAACTGGAAAAAAAAGTACACTTAAAAAAAATAATAATAACAATAAAAAACATCTGCACCACAAAATTCTGCACCAGAAATAAACAAATGATTCTAGTTCTGCCCTCATCTCACCACCTGCCTTATTAAAGACGGCCCAGTCAGCAGGTTTGTGAGCTTGTTTAAGATTTTGTTTTTTTAACGTACTGTTTCGGATCTCCTCCACTATGAAAGGGTCAAAGCGGATCTTGTCGATGCTCTCGTCCAAGCAGTAAGTCTCGTAGATCTTCTTCACTTCTTCGTGAAGCATCAGCTTCTCAGAGTCCGACAGCTCTGGACACAAAATCCTGTCGTTGAACTCCTCTGAGACGTCAGACAGAACAGATGTTTAGAAACCCCTGGTGTCTTCTTAATGTAGAAATAATAATAGTTCACACGCGGTTAAAATAATCCGTTTGCTTTCATCTAGAAATGCAAAGAACAAAACGTACCAACTGCGAGACAGAACTGGAGCACATGGACAGCTCCCTCTTGTTTGAGGAAGTTCATGAAACGAAAGAGGAGATCTTGTTGTTCTCTGATTTCCTTCAGCTCCAGCTTCAGCACCTGATGGACAAAAAACAGCTTATGAGTACTTATATATTCCCCTACTTTTTCCTAAAATTTGTACTTTTTTAACAATAAGTTTCAAAACATTTTATCAGGAAGGATTTTATTAATGAATGATCTTACTGAGGGCTTTTTGTTGCGAAGATCAGAGTACTTTTGTAGAAACGGAACCATGGCTGAAGAAGGCTCTGTGGCTTCTTCAGGCTAAAGAAAAATATTTCATTATATAAAAGTTTACAACTTTTTTTTTTGATTCAAAAAAATGGATAATCATCTGTTAACAACACATGAACTCCATAAAACTTGCTTAAAAAATAAAAATAAAATGTTCGGAATCTAAACTTACGGGAGATTTGTCGATAAATATTAATATTAAATGATTCACCGTGTCCTGAAATGTAAAACAACAACAACAAAAAAGACATTTTAGCTTTTTGAAATGACACTAAAACTGCTTGTCATGCTTTGGAAAAGAAAGGCTTACATTTGCATGCTCATAGGTAGTCCATGTCAACAAACTACAAATAGAATAGTCTTTACATATTTCTGTCTACACTCACAGGATCAGCCAAGTAGTCCATTGAAGGAAGGAAGACAGAACCAGCCAAGACTTCTCTTATCAGGAGAGAAAGAGATCTGAAAGGTGCAAGAAAATATAAAAGCAGCAGAAAAAGAGAATGAGAGTAAAATAAGTGGTCCTCATCCTTGTCGTCTGGTGTGAGTAAGATAACTTGTGGAAGACTCCAGGTGCACAAATCCTCACATAAAGTTTGGCTGATAAGCAGAAGAAGTATGGGGCGTTAAGTGTAAAATGTAATAT